CATTTTGCTTCGATCTAGCAGTCTGTTGAAAAAAGAATCCAAGCTTGGCCATAATCAAAACTACTTGTATAAGGTCTGGCCTTCGGGTTCCGGCCGGCCGTTCGTAGCGGCCCCGGCCGTCTCGAGACCGCCGTCCGAGTGTCCACTCTCCTTCGCGAGTGCCCCAAGGACCGCCGGCAAAACCTGGTCGAACAGCTTGGAGAAGCCAAACTCATTCACTCATCAAGCGAAACCGGCGAGTCCTTGTTGGGCCCGGCTTTTCGGAGTTTGACACTTTGGCAACTCCAAAACAGAGTTGGAAACAGGAAACTTCCCGTTTCAGTACGCTACCCCCGTATCTCGAAAAGCAGTAACATCAAAAAATTTGGTATAGTAGTGGTTTCATGTGGTTTCGTGTAAACATCAATCCTCCCATCTAAAAAAGAAGAAAACATGACATCTTTAATGGCTCTGACAAGGCAACAGTCCTTAGATGTCCTTACATTGACTTGGTACGATCTCCAGCACCTCTGCGTAACCTGCGAACTCCGACGGATGCTTCGAGGCCAATCCGCACTCGGCCAACGACTCGGTCAACATCGGGTGCCCGGTCCGTTCTCAACGTCCTTTCCAAAGAGAAAGGGCGATGGAGAACGCAGGAGGACAAAGGTGATAACTGTGATGACTGCAGCCTGTTGAGGGGGACAGGGAGGAAAAAAAGAAGCTGGGGGCAGGCACTCATGCCAGGAATTTCTTGAATAGATGACGAGGCCAATCAGAATCAATCCACAAAGCCCACCCAAGTGCTGCAATGAAGCAGCACCCCTTGATGTAGTAGGTAGCCTACAAACAACATCGTTTTTGTTCAGCCGGGTGGCATATTCGATGTCCAGGAACACCGGGTCCGTGATTTCCTGGGAAACAGGAAAAAGAAGAGATGGCTTCTTCAGCTTGGTCATGTGTTCACATCTGTTATATAACTCATGTTGATCCTGCTTGTGCTGTTCGCCTCGGACGCAAACTTCGGCCAATCGCATCAGGTGGAATGGGGAAGCAAACGGAGCAGCGTCTCAACGACCATAAACATCAATCCATAAAATGCCAGGTAAAACCATGAATACGATGGGCAAAATGGTTGCTTGAAAACATGAAAGCTTGGAAAGCCTTTCACATGTCAAAACATGAAAGGCCTCGGGCAACATATGAATCCAGGCTTTTTGGTGCGAAGACCGACTTTTCCTACGAACTGTAGTCAGCGGTGATTTGGAGGTCTTCCGTGTTCCCTATTTTTGAGACACATGCAAGCTAATCCGACTAAACCGAGCCATGTCTCCCCTGTCAAGTAACTCTCCATGGGGTGCTGGAAGAACAGCTTCATCTCCTCAATACCTGCTGAAGTCCGGCCGTCGTGGCTGCAAGGTTTGGTCACCCAACACGTCACCAGCAAAACGGAACAGCGACAAGCCGGTCGTTTGGCTTTCTGTTGGAACCTCAGTAGCCCTCCGAAAGCAACATGCAAGCTCGGACGGATCTTTGAACAGGGTTCCTCTTTGTTCGCCTGGCTTGGGTTACTGGTTAAAAAAATCCGTTGCCAACCTGCCACTGAGGAAGTTGCTTTCAAAAAGTAAAGCCCATGAGAAATTAGGCCGATCATGTTACCGTGCAAAGCTGAGAATATGATGAGCCAACAAAAATGGAAGAAGAAAAAAAACACGAAAAGATGATCGACCCATCCAACTCGTCTAGAGAAAGGTAAAGAACACGCGTTCAAGGGCCTTCGTTCGCAAACTCGGCAAGTGTTCTGTGGGAAGTTCTCGGGGAAGAACCATCCCACTTCATGTGAGCAGTGGAACCGACGCAACTCTGCCGCCGTTGGACTCGGATCTGACTCCCGGACACAGGGGCGGACAGGGGCGTCGCTGAAGCCCTGGCTCGCCTGGTCTGATGCCCTCATCTGCCGCACTGGTCAGTGTCAGCTGCTGTAAGAAACCACGTTGGGCATCCAGAAGGAGCTCACAGGGCCACTGCTCAAGACCACCTGAAAAAGAGAAATGCCCCGAGGGTGTTTGCCAGTTTATGGAAGCAAACCAGCACTGCCACACTTTCATACCCCAGATTCCATTCTTCTCGTGGAAATGTGCAAAAGGAGCTGTCTGTCAGGTCCTACAACTTGCGGATTTCTTGAGGTACAGTACATGTTGTGTGAATCGAAAACCTCATGCATAAACGGACGTCAGCTACAATTGATTAGCTGAAAATCTGCACGGGCAGTTACCGACGGAACCCTCCGGGGTTCCTCTTGCCACTCAGCCCTGACTCACAAAGTCTTTACACGAACAAGTCATGCTTTGGAGTCCAAAGGGTGGCAGGGCTGGTCTGAATTCAACTTAGATCGCTTGCTCCCTCCGAATTCGCTCAAGTCGCTCAAGTCATGACCGTCGATGCTCGACCTTGTCCCTACCATCCTAACGCGACTGACTCCAAACTCACAACCAAAATGGGAAAATCCCAAATCCAGCCAAGTGCGTGATTTAGAAGACAGAGGGCTAAGGACAAAGAACCAACAAACATCTCGGTCCACACATGAAATGGAACGGATGGACACCAATGAAAGCAGCTATATACGGCCAGTCGATGGAACTAGAACTAAGGCACAGAAATGCACAGAATGCTGCGTGACTCCACAATATCCCAAGTGGTGCTGAAAAACTGCAATTCGAGAGTTTCTATGCTTCATCTCCACTTCCCGAGATCGATTTCTTCGCTTTGACTCAGTCACACAGCTTCGAGGGCGCCGCATCGGCTGCGAGCTGCCCTTGACCTGTAGAAGTGCGAAGGAAGTGCATCCCACTGAGATCCTGACTAGCATGATGCAAGCATTCAATCAGGATGAATAAAATTACACTTGGGAAATCGATATCACATGACTAAACGCATGATATGATGAGCATGCAAATGCATGTGTCTCTATAAAGTGTCTATTTCTTTTTGTTGGTTTGTTTTCGGGTCTCACTTCCGCGCCAAGTCACAGCAGAGGGCGAAGGACGCCAGGTCGCTGAGGTCGTCCTGGACGGGTGACGGTCGGGTCGACCGGTCGGTCCACCGTGGTCCTTGAGTCCTTGAGTCATGAGAGCAAAATCTGATGCAAAAGAATGCAAAACATATCAACAGCCATTCTTACTTGAACACATGTGGTTCTGCGTTCAGACACCCAGCTTGGCAGCGTTTAAAAGTGCTCTTGAGGTGGGTGGAATGGCCTATTCCTCTTCCCTGAAGGCCCTGACAAGTCCACCAAAACTGTCAGCCTCACCTTTGACACCAAGGGCGGGTTGATCGCAGCCACCAGCGCAAAAGAGAAACGCCATAGCATTGAAGGTTGGGTTCTCCTCCCATGGGAGGGAGTTCTCAGGAACCACCCTCAGCTAAATGCCGACTAGGCTGACCTGCTCAAGGAAATGGTGTCCAAAGGACTCAACAAACCATTTTTTGTTTTTTGGATTACGGTGACGAAGCTCATCAAAGCTCCTCCTGTTCCCTGCAACCTGACCAAAAGTGTTCAGGATCAACAAAGCTCTTCCGGCCCCGACCCTGCTGTCATATATAACCCTTCTCACACGTTTCAAGCGGCCGGCGGCCACGTGAGCTACATGTCAGTGTGCTTCAGCGCTTGAAGCCAACGGCTGAAATCTCTATGGTAGTTCCAATCCATCAGCAAAGCCACCCTTCAGGTACCGGATCCAGAAAGAAACGCAAACCCTGTCAAGATCTGTCAAGAAAGTTCCACCTCTCCTTTGTGGAGATTCCACCACACTCCCAACAGGCAGCAAGACCTACGATGACCACAATAATCTGCTGTCATAAAAAAAGAACTCACTTGCGATAGTTCTACATCCTAGCTGTGTGCTCCTTGCAGTTTCGTTGGACCCTTTATCCCCACTGGTCCCCACCCTTGAGCTTTGAATGACTCCAACACTGGTGATTGACCATCATTTGGATTTTCCTCGCATTGACGATGGTCAGGCATCAACCTTTGATCTTGGTTGCCAAGGATCAAGGCTTTGCCGCCGACCTTTTTGACGGCTGGTTGGATCACATATCGACACACGGAAGGTCACCCTTTCCGCTTTTGCACGCCTCGTCTTGTCATGAGGGGGGTAAAGGTCGCTGCTTTGACCTTCGAGTCAATGGGGGTATGGGGGTAATGCTGGGCAATGCTGCAGTGTGTCTTCATTGTTCCACATAATTCTCGGGTACCGTAGCCAGTTCACTCTGTGTGGTCAGTCGACCGTTCACTTGACCGGAGACGTGCCACCATCGGGGGCACAGCCTTCATGCCACACTCCTTCCTTGATCACGGTTCCATCTCCTGCGTACATGACCTTGGCATCTCAGGTCAGCCAATGTCAGGTCGGCCACTCGGTCGCCATGTCCAACCCGTTCGATTTCATTAGCACCCAAAGTCTGAACCGTTTTGGATCGTTTTGGCGACTGCCGTGACGCAGTGTTTACAGCTTACGACGTTTGAGCTCGCCCTGTGGACACGAGTCAGTGGATACTGGTGAGACTCACACCACACCAAAATGCCTCGGGGAGGCACTTGGCGCCTCTGGATCTTCGGCCCGAGAAGGCATGATAACCCAGAGGCGCGTCCGTCCTTCGCTTCCTTGGCTTCCTTTGTCCACCCTCTCTCTTGACATATGTCGCAAGACCTTTGTCCTCATATGAGAGTGCTGTTTTTCTGGGAGGTCTTCCAAGAGGCGTTGCCTGTTTCTGGAGAAGATTGTTTGGTGGCACCTCTACGGACACTTGTTAGGGGTATGCGCAGCTTCTAGATCTACGTTGTTTCTCTCCTCCTGGTGTTCTCAAACCTCATGGCGCGGACGACTGCCCGGGCGCCCTGGCACCAGGACCATGTTGCTTTCCCGCCTGGCAGTGGGGCAATACATACATACATACATACATGATATGACATGACATGGCATGACATTACATTACATCACATTACATTACATCACATTACATTACATGACATTACATTACATCACATCACATTACATCACATTACATTACATCACATTACATCACATTACATCACATCACATT